TGTATGTATATATATATATACATATGTATATATATATATGTGTGTGTGCGTGTGTGCGAGTGTATGTATGTGTTTGTGTGTGTGTTTGTTTTTGTATGAGTGTGTGTTCGCAAAAGAATCAACGTGGTCTGCGTATGTTGTGTGTGTATAATTCGTGCTACTCGCCGACTCTGGCTGTGTGTATGTGTATTTTGTAGATGTGTTCAATATTTATCGAAGCTTGGTATATTGGTTTTTTGATAGATTTATGTACGATCAGGTTTATATCCATTAGCTTTGTAATGTATTTATGTTTCATGCTTATGGTTGCCAATGCTGGAACTTCTACTTTTGCTACTATAGTTATCTCAAATATAGGCGTATTCGCATCTAAATTCTAATGAATGCTTACGATCGACACATGCCCGGTCGTCAATGAAAATGCAACAAACTCACCAGTGATGTCATTTTCGTCGCAAATGATGAAGTGATTCACTCCGGCAGCGATGTTCCATTCGATAAAAAGCGGTAGAATTCCCTCATTGAAGCGGACACTCGTTATAGCTCCCAACTGGCTTCTAGATGAACGACAAAAGAAGATGGACGCCAATGCTGAAGTCGACATTGAGTCACATGAAATGTAATCAAAACTTCAAGAATAAATACACCACATATTCGTACCCTTTTGCAGATCGAAGATCGTCATTGGCGAGCAGCAAGTAGTCACTGGTAAACGGATAGTGGCTGGAATGATTGAGACAAATTGCGAGGGTAAGAACAAAAGATTATACCGATCTATCAAATCGAAAGATAAAAGCTCTCATATGTATGGATCGACTAGTCATAGCCCACTCACTTTTTTTTGCCAGAATTTTCAATCAGAGTCAACAAAGATGTTACGGCGAGTACGCAGCACAGAGTCAGCAACGAGGCTACAATAGATGAGTGGCTGCGATCTACTGATTCCTTCGCAGGCCGAGGGATGTCCAACTTTTTGAGTGTCCTATAGGAACCACAAACGTCATAAGTATAGGTGTGCATCAGCTGTGACATGGATTGAATGCTAAATTGCCTGCAGGTTGCAATTGGTATCATCGCAAAATCCCTTACCTGTATGGAATCCCGTAGTCAAACCAATCAACTCGCCCTCCATGATTTGGGATCCGCTCCATCGATGGTAAATACATACTTCTACCAGAGTAGGCTGTCAGTCCGAATAAAATAATGACTATCGCAGCATACATGCACAAACTAAGATCCTCACTCTGTTGTACTTCGGTGCGGAATACGACGGCTGAAGTACCAACCAAACATATACCAGTGTGCACAAGGACAGCCAATTCGTTGCGACCACTGCAAATGAAAGCACGTTGTGAAGATGCGGTCTCAAAACATTCCTCTTTCTGGCGAGTCTGATTAGTTGCGTAAGCTACGATACAAACCCATTGCAAAGACGCAAAGACGCAACTCAATAGTAGCAGGTAGCTATTTCGTGTGGGATCCACAATTGGTCTCGGTGGATATATGAATAGACCATGTGTGTTTATCCCAAAAAATATTAGGGAAGGTTGGTATATCAGTGGAGTTAAAATAAGCAGCAATAGTAAGCACCCCAAACTCTGCGCTAAGGCGGTGATTAGAGGACTCGCGCCGTAAACAGGCCATATTAGCCAGCTCAACCAGCCATGTGGTGTTCGATCACTCACTTTGTTATCACGGTCACTGTCACCGGTGACAGAGTCAGCCAATCGCTGAGATACTAGAACCACACGAGAGATCTGCGTGAACATAATCGCACTACTACACCAACAGATGACCTCCAGTAAGGTGCTCTCCCAGCCCCTCGTAGCTTCGCCGACCGATGTGAAGTGAAATGCTAGAATGGCCCCACCTAGAGCGGTGAAGTGATGGGTCTCGATGTATTTTGAGGCTGAGATACCTGCGTACATATCAGTGCCATGTGCTATACATAATGACAAGAGCAGTCCATACGCACTAGAAATGGCGTGTGTACATACGCTGTTGCGCTTGAGCGCGAACGCTTGAGCAAGTTGTGCGACTGCGATGGCCACTGCACATGGAGTTGCTTCTGATGTGTATTGAGAGGACAGATTAATGCGTACTGTGCCACAGTCTCTTTTCTTGAAACCCCACCAGGCTAGCGATAGCACTAGTGTTGTTAAAAGATTCCAGCACGTGATGGACCTATGATTGACAGATAGGCAAAATGTACAAGTAGATCAGACGAGCGAAGACATCCAGGTAGGAACACGTGGACCATCGACTACACCACAGTTTTAGAGACTTCAACTAATACAGAGTAGTAATAACGATAACCATATTGTGCACTCACTTACCAGGGCAGTTCATTCCTGACGACGAGTAGTGAGTGATCGACGTAGAATTTGAGAATGGATACCAACAGCAGCACTGCTACGGGCAAGGAGTGCCACGAGCTATCCATTTCTTTAAATGTCCTAGGATAATCTGAGCAGAATTATCGTCTTCTTTGTCAATAAAGTAGATTATATGTATGTACTCTGAGCGTTCAGACACTTGCGCCAGAATATTTTTCTATTGTATTATACAGATCGATTGATACATGCACACGAATGTTTCTATTCTTCTACATGTAGGAAAATGACTGTCTTCCAAACGCATCTAGATACGCACATGTGTTTTTCAACTCTATCGATTCAGACTCTGCCATGAATTACAGATCTGTACGTCTTTTTTAATACGTACGTATACCTGTATGTGTTTGAAATCTCATCTCTTCTTAGGGCTTAGACTGTATTTATAAAAATTTCTTCTAGAGAAGGAGGCTATGAAAATCCTCATTATACACTCGTCGTAGCCTCCTAAAATAATATTATCACACTCATCATAGCGGCATAGCCTCCTAAAATAATTTTTAAAATACACACCTACTAATCTATAAAACTCTAAAACTCTAAACCCCTGAAACCCTAAGTTGTTATGGTGATGTATGGTGTCTGGGGCCCGCCATGGGCCCCCGGACTCCGGAGGCTGGAGCCTCTGCGCCCTGAGCGCACCCAAATTTACAAATCTAAATACAACAACTAAAAGGATAGAGAAACGGAAACGGAAACGGAAACGGAAACGGAAAGGGGACCCTGGCGGACTGGTCCAGGCCGCATCGACGCAGGGTCAAATTGTCGTGTTTTGGCACTATTTCAATATAAATAAACACGGGACTGACATAAATAAAATACATATGTATGTAGTATTTACAGATATGTATGTGATTATATGCATATATAGCCCTCCGTGTTCTCACTGCTGCGAGCGGGGCATCTAGTTATTCGTACGTAAAAATAAAGTGTGCTCTGGAACCTACACTAAATATGAAGATATGAAACGAAAATGAAGATTTATTAGCGTTCTGCAAACATTTCTTCACTGTGGATTTCCATAAGCCTTTTTTAACATCAGCATGTTCCAATCGCTTGCGATTGTAAAACCTAGCACAGCACATTCCAATAGCATGCTATTGTAAAAACTAGCACTCATTTGATTCTCCTCGTACTCACTATTGCGCCGGTACCACCTGCATTGTAGTTGTGATGAATGTCTCATTCTACAGTTCTTCGTTGGAGTGCATGGGAAACATCCCTCGATACTGAAAGACTATTACCGCGTGCATATACTTTTACTTTCCGTTATATATATATACATACATACACACACATATATAAACATATATAATATATCTATATATATATATATGTGTGTGTGTGTGCACTATATATATATATATATATATATATATATATATATATATATATGTGTGTGTGTATGTATATATATATATATGTGTGTGTGTATGTGTGTGTGCGTGTATATATATATATATGTATATGTATATGTACATGTATATACTTATGTATATATATATATATATATATATATATGTGGTATAGTTCGCGACCTACAAGGTCATTGAAGGGATTCCAGATATTTTCGTGTGTTGAACGAAATCCCATCGTACCAGTGAACTCAGAATATTCGCTGACCTTACACCAAATCTGACAACTCTCAACGCATCCCTTACAAAGCCCATAGAGCACGAGAAAATAAGTCTCTTCTTTCAATAAAGTGCGCTGCATAGATAATTGGCTTATATGATCGATTTTTAAAATGTTCGTAGGTTGTTCGGACTTGCGTGTGGGACGTAGCAGTGAGACAAAAAAATCCCCAAAGTATATGCACAATATGTTCATATAAACTTCATATAAATACCTAGTATGAGCATTCGAAATTGAGACAAGTATGATTTAAAATAAATGTGCCTATTAATACCATTATTTAACATTGTGTGTGCACTCAGCAGTCAGCACTGTGCACTCAGCAGTCGGCACTGTGCACTTTGACACTGCGCGCCAAAACTGGAGGCAGTAAAATTGAGGTCCGAGTGAGACCTGTGTGACTGTGTCTATTTTGTTTTTGTTGTTTTAAAATAAAACAATTAAAAAAATTGACCTGTCCACTCAGCAAGTCGAGTCTATTTATTGTCGAGAGATGGTCCAACCGTCCAAGTCACGGATGACCCAGTCGCTACTCGCGGGTCCCGACCTAAGAGTCTATCCTTGCATCTAACTCCTGGATCGGACGAATATTGCGTTCTATAGTCTGCCACTGAGGGCATTTCTGAGGGTGGTGAATAAATACGCGACTCACGATTGCACCATTAATACTTCAGTAAATTTCATAGCCTTCTAAATTATACAAACTACTGCAACGTACGTGCAAATATTATATAAATATATTTGTTCTTGTATACTAACAAACATACACTTTGTATGTATAGAAGCCTATTACTACAGCAGTGCTATCGAAAATATGTCCTTGACAGCTGATAAGGCGCGCGTGGCAGCATGCCAACGACAAGTGTGCCGGTACTTCATAACAAGTAGTCAGGTAAGCACTCGCGCGGGTATTCTGTAACAATACACCTGTAGGTCGCGAATCATCCTCGACTGCCATCGGGTGACTTACATATTTTCTGTTTGTGATTTTGCACCATGTACTCGTTTTCGAATCATCGATACGAATGCTCAGGCATGTTTCGCCGCATACACAGGAAGTGTATGAGGGTTTGTCTTGTGTGTATTTAATATTTTAAAAGGGAAATGTTAAGCTTTGCGCCTATCGCCTATTTTATCTATTCACGAGACACCTTGTGAATGGTGGAAAAAATCTCGACATTTGCCTGATATAGCCCCTGTGTTCTTGTTAAGCTTACTTCATATATAATTATCGTGCAACCCGCCTATTGATGTAGGGGCCTTCTGCATGCGAATATACGGTATTTGAACGCTCGGAAATGTACGCAGAATAGGGGTGTACTGTGGAAAGATTTGCCGCCTCAGATAGGTCGGGATGGCTAGTACTATCAAGGATACTTCATGATACTTATTTACCCGCGTGTAGTGTGTATGTCAAGCGCACAGCTATGCAATAACCAAATAACACATGCAGCTTCAGCCCTCTGATATCAAGCGGTACCGAATGTATCAGACTATAGTACTCCCATGATGTGGGCATATGTGCGCTTATATTTGTATGTTCCACTGACACAGAAAGTCAGACCCGCGCTGCTAGAGAAGGTTGCGCGCGAGTCAGAGACGTACCAAATGTACAACGATATAATCAGTTTATTGGAGGATGAACAGTTTTTTGAAAACTTGTGCCACACTGCGACGGCCTTAAATAGAATTGCATGGCTTGAGGTCAAGAAGTCTAGGTGTGTTGCAATCTGGTGGCATATCACCGCCTTGCGTTGATATTCAATATGTACATTTGTGCTGAGTGTGCATTGTGAAAGAGGTCTCAAGTTGGGGGTCTGAGCTGAGCTGTTGTGTATTAGCACAATTACAATTCCGCATCCCGTTGATTTCAAGACCGTTACATGCAAACTATCATCGGTTCAGAATCGAGTAAAAATATATATATGTTACCAGAAGGATTCTCCCCCAGAAAAAGCATACTCTTGAATATTGTCATCTGTGCGCTGATCGTTTTAGGTATAATTCGCAACAATGCGCATTGTGGGTAATGACAGGCTACTGTAATGTAACGGCAATTCCAACTGAACATGACTATCAGCCCTGATGAAAAATCCTTCTGGGTGGACATAGTGGCTGCGACCCACACGATAATTTCGTGCGTTCTGATAAATGAAGGTCCGCCAGGCTGTTTGAAAGGTATAGATAAACAGATTGAGACTATCTTGAAACTCTGTGCCTTCGTGTGAATGTTTTGTTTGCTTTGTGTATTCACGGACGCAAAACAGGGAAAATATATACATCGCATTTTATGTTATGCGTGGAGCTTACTGTGCGGACATTACAGTGCCGCTCGACCCTCTGGCCCTTCATCTGTGCCCAAAATCACTTGTAGCTTTGCTTCCATTTGACCCTTTTAGCAAGTGGTGTTATGTGTCGTGCAATTTATCTGACAACATCACTGGATGGTGGGTGGTGTGTATCTCTATGAGTTGGCCAGTCCTCTCTTCTCAAATTTGAACAACCGCGCACACGCATATCTACACAACAGCAATGGAGCATATCGATACTGTCTTGATTCTTCGTGGATATATGGGCCCGCTACGAGTGATCTGTGGATTTGCCGAACCGAAAGCAAAAGCATACGCAATGTCCTTGAGGGCACGTGATATCTCTAATGATGTAGATTTGCAAAGTCTTAGCGTTTCCTATGACACGACTACTGAGAGCGCCAGTTTAAGCAGTCATACGCACCAAGATAACAGTGAAGTAGGCTTAGATAGTGCTTTCGCGACACTGGAATATTCGGAGTCACTCAAATATGTTATGCCAGAATTAGACGGCGGAAAAGAGGTGAATTTTGATTCTATGTCGAATGCGCTGGTTTCTTTACCCTCGTGAATATTCTTGACTTTTGTTATATCGATTACTATAACCGCATATACTGTGAAATTGCCTATGTGTTGATGCAGTTCTCCACATTCTCACATACTGGAAATATACAGGTGGAACGCATATCTTTAGCAGACGAAGGGTATGAGGACAACTTCGCAGAGTTCAAAAGCTACGTCAAGCAGAGTAAACCTTTAATTATGACGGGTGAGTTCATTTAAGATTTGCCTTCAATTGGGTTAAATCACTGCTGCGTGTTAAGTGTACTGCTTTTCTACTTTATTTCGTTCAATATGTCACTAGGAAATAGGAAACTAAACTTATGTGAGTGGAAGTAGAATCACGAAATTAAAGCTTTCGATATATATAATATTACCAAGTTGTAAGAATGCGACTGATACTTGATCATCTGATATCTGTAGCATACGACCCCGGCGTTAATGAAAATATAACGTTTTTTTCTATTACCTTTTGACATATAAGTAAATCATAACGTGTTTGAAGTAATTAAGATGTCACTTACAATCAACATGACTGCACACTATGCACTCAGGTGGGCAAATAGGTTGGGCCGCGACCGATAAATGGAAGGATCTTGAATCCTTAATAGAAGCCCTTGGTCACAGGTGGATTCCAGTTGAGGTGAGAGTACGAAGTTTACGGGACTAGAGGATTTGTTTTATGTTGGAGTGCTATGTACATTTTGTCCAGTTAGATTGTCCAAGCTCTTGCCTTTGATTTTGACAACGAGCTGGAGATGTGTCATGCTGTAGATTATTTAGTGACAGACCTATTCGACGGTGCTCACAGGTTTGTCATTGTCGTCGACGATCTTATCTTTTTTTCAAATCATTTTAGCACTCTCACGACAACCAACGTTAGACTTCCGACTTCCGCTTAGATTACCAGTACAGCATCCTTGTGTCTAAACTATGTCGTAAGTAGTATTCCTATTGAAGTTTGGGACACATCAAGTATAAATATGTTTATGATATTGAATCTCCAAGTGCTTCTTCCGTGCTTCATAGTGCATCTAGTTTGTCTTCGCTGGTATATTTGGCTTATGTACAATATCCATATACTTGCCTCTATTTGCGCACTCTTATTACGTGCTTGTTGGATCTCAGCTTGGAACTTATGGTACCTCGTCATGGAGGGAGGAGATCATCCAAATGGCAACATTCATCGAAACTCGTATCAAACCTAGCCATCAAAAGACCTTGCTTGGGGAGTATGTTTCTTTTTTTGCTGTGTATTCTGTTGTTTGCCATCGTCATCTGCGTCTACTAGTGCGTGTGCCTGAGTCTACAGTCACACTTGTAACTGTTGTTTTAGTACCATCTCAGCATTTATACTTAGAGCACGTATCGAGTGGTAGAATATACGTGATTTGTAGAACAGTACCCTATGCTCCACGTTTATTGAAGTAGGAAGTCTCAGCCATGCAGCTGCAGCTCGAGAGTTAAAGTACAAACTTTTTATTTTTCCATGTCGTTTTTCAACGATATTTAACCGTTATGCATTTTCACGACTATTGGTGTTCAATATGCAGCTACATTTGTGTCACTTTACAAATGGCAACACTTCAATAAATACTGCAAGTCACAATCAACGCAGGCTCACGCCAATCGACGTCGTGGGATATATTGCGCAACACGAGCTGTTCGATCATTTCCCAGCAATGAAATTAGATTTTAAAGTGCCACAGCTTATCAAGGACTTGATCCGGGGCCACCCGGAGAAGATGAACGGGTGGTTTGGCACGGCTGGCACAGTAACGCCATTACACACGGATACTTATGAGAACATTCTTGCTCAGGTTTGTTCCCTATGCTTTTGAAAACTTTCTATCCAGTCAAATCTGCCGACGGGTGATTTTGATTATATTTTTTGGTATCATATGGTTCAATAAGTTCATCTAAGAAGGCACAACGGATCGATCTTTTCAACTCCGTGTGGTTGTGCTACATATCGCGTCTGGCTATGCTGGGTGTTCTCTCATTGGGATATATATGGCAAACTGTCCATAACATTCGAAAGCAAATTCGACATGTATGGCTTGATCGCACCCAATTATGATGCAATATGGGGTGAGTGCGACGCTCGGATGTCCGGTAACCGGTTTAAACTTTAGTCTATCACGTAGTCTGAACTATATTGCATACATTTGGTTATACTGCTTCAATACAGGTGGTAGGATATAAATATTTAAGGCTGTATCTATCGGATCAAACGCCGAAACTATATAATAATGGCCCGCAAGGAACCAATATAAGCCAAGTTGAATGCGAGAAGGAAGACTTCGTGCGTCATCCACTGGCCAATGATGCTAAATACTACGAGCTAGTACTCAGACCGGGAGATATGTTGTATATACCAGTAGGCACGTGGCATTACGTGCGAAGTCTAACGCCGAGTTTCAGTATCAACTTCTGGTGGTAGTATATAAATGGAATTGTCGTCAATACTTTTAGCTGCATACACAAATGAGAAATAATCAGCCTAAGTGTATTTAGTTTGAATTAATCGTTCATATTCTGAAACTCAATATGGTCGGATTTGCAATAGGCACCGATATTCCTTGTCGTGTATTATTTTTTAATGTCGCTGCATGATTCAGAATATCGAAGAAGTTCTGGGTGCTCTAAAGCGGCCTCACTGGGAAGGATATATCAAGTAGAATGTCTTGTCCATAGTTTTTATGTGTTCGAAGTCCGATGGTTAACTAGATGGTAGTTGCGCGTCATAATCGTCGAAGTACTGTAGTATTCAAAATTGAGAAACGTTCGGTAAATGATTGTTTTTATAGATATATTAAATACAACCGATGTTTGTACACGCGAACTATTTGTTTGCAATACTTTTTTTTCGGCTCGCATACAAAAATCGGTCGAATCTGAATTTCATATCTACAATGTAATATGACGTTTGGTCACAACACATGTGTGCTCCGCGCTGAACAGTAAATACTGGATTTTTTTTCCCAGTGTACGCAGTATCGCAAAACCTTTATAAAATCCGATGCGCACGCTCAACTCATAGTCGGCTAAAGAGTACTGCCCCTTTTTCTGTACAAACCACCAAAAGCTATAGCTGCTAGCACGGCTCTTGACCGTAATTCCGCATATTGAGTTGTCAATGGTATTATGATCTCCATAGCGATAGTGCCATGACCATAAATCGGGCCACATAAATTACGTGCTTTATTTTATGAAGAGATCTTCCTGTAAAATACCTGACCTTATCACAATGCCGGAGAAAATTGCTACAACCATTAATGGCTGCCCATGCATTCTATTGAAATTATTTACATTCGACCCAATCATTTCGGCTTCAACATGGTTTCCAAACGTCACGCTTCCCATAAGGGCTGTCACGATAGCTCGCGTGCTTTGAAGATGTGAATGTTAGTCAGTATTCCCTCCCATTGCTTTTGAACACTGTTGAAAGTTTCCGTCCTCTCGAAGTACTAATTGAATAATACTTACACTTGGTACAACCTCCAATCCCGATTAGAAGCATTCCTGGCGTTCCCCAATCTCGAATATAAAGATAACGGTGCGCAATGCAGCAATACTCTACAGATACATTACAGTATACAATTATCCGTATCCAATCTATACTCACTACGAGACCATCGTGTCTCATTGCTAAGCTGGAAAGATATCTGTTCCTTAATCATCGTTCGTATTCAAGCTGATAATTTTAAACTCGGCCGCTTGATTTACCTTTCGATTTGGTTTTGGTGATATCTTCGGAGGGCATGTCCAGTGCTACATCATCATGTAAATTTGCTTTGCTCAAGGCTCGCGCACGTTTGATATACTCTTGATTGTCACCTTCCTCTCCGAATAGTCGACCATTACTCATACTACTCAGTGCGTCCTTCATACGTCGAGACCCCATCCTATCGCGCATCATAGAGAATACTTTCTTCTTCTTCTCGGCATCACCACTGCCGCCGCCGCCTCCACTGCGTTTACTGCGTTTCTTTTTCTTCTCTTCCTCTTCCTCTTTGACATCAACTAAAATCTTGGTTTTCGCACTCTTCGCATGTCCTATATCTCCTCGCATTCTTTTTCGTAACTCCCACCACGTCGACGTGAGCAAGAAAGTCCAATAGCACAAAGCAACTATCAGAACTATGTATACTAAACCGGTAATAACAACAATGCACCAATCTCCAGCAGTCGCATCAGTATCCTCATTGCCGTAGACAATTATACCATCATCACCGCCGTCTGTATTTGTTACCACATCGTCATTGATGGTTCCTTGGTTGTTGACGTCATCGTTATTGCTCACCGGAGGAACAGCTTCAGGTACGTTGTTGGGCGTGTTATTGATTGCTGTATCGTCAGGTGTTTGCTCCGAGGTAGGGTCAATAGCAGCAGTTGGTTCGGACAAAGGTTCGGTGCTGATAGCTGCAGCGTAATTTACGGGGCCAATTACAAAATCGTTTTCTGTCGTTGCACGAAAAGTTAACGATTGGAAAGAATTGGCCTCATTTTTACCATAAAACACAGTATTGATAGTGTGTCCCAGATCAAGACCTTCGCGGAATCCTACCCGGAAAAATCCAGTCATGGCATTCTCAGCCCCTTCATCGACAATGTATCTATACTGATAACTTCGGCTGAACGCACCATTGTGAATCTGATTGAAGGTGTCGTAATACTTCATATTACTCATCGGAAGATAGGATTCAGCTGTCTCTCGCAATGCCAGATCGACAGGAGAATCAGCAAAGTTGACAAAAGAGATGTATCCCAAAGTCTGTTCCACATCGCCATTGTCAATATTTCTAAGTAGGACTTGATCGCTAACGCTGGAATTTCGATGAAGAAACCAAACATTACGCGTGTCATCTTCGTATATATTAGCAGAGTGTAGTGCAATCGAGCTTGCATCGACTGATTGGTCCTCATCGTTTACGGGGAAGATATAGATAGGTATACCATTGACCTGCCCTGACGTTTCGGTAGACTGTATTAAAAGTCTCTCCTCATAACACAGTGGTGCAGATACTAACTTCCCTGGACTCGCGAGTTCTCCAACTTGAACTGCGACGCATTTAAAAGCATCGCTGGGTTCCAGTAAGTTCACAAAATTAAGCGCATGCAGCCCGCTTACATTGCATATCTTCCAAGCAAGCAGACTGGTCAAAAGATGGGCGCGTATAGAAAAAGAAATCATGGTGTTGAGCTCAGATTGTGAGGATGCGTTATCTTTATGCGTTATCTCTACTTTGATCGAGATATACCAAATAAACAATTGTGTAATTCGTTTTCCGCTGTGCCTCGCTCTATGAGGTGTGAAGAAGGACGCGTGAAGGTGCTTTACATTGAATGTAATTTTTTTGAAAACTATTTCGCCCTCGTATTTATGTTTTTTTTTAAACACCACAAACATTCCCTGACATCCACAACAGTCCAGAACTCCAGACGCCAGACTCCAGACTCCACCAGCAGAGGGTGAGTCCACACCTTGGGCTTGTGGGGGCCTTGGACCGGTGTTTGTTAAAAAATAAATTAAGCTTCTTGGGCTAAAGCCGTGGGGCGTGGGCCTTGAGAAATTTCCAAGTTTTGTTTTTTTTTGACTGCAAGTATTTGGTTTTTTTTTTAAATAAAAAAATAGTATAATCAGTTCTGTGTATTTAGTGAATTTGCATATATTTAACAAATTTAAATATTTACACAGCCCATATTAATATTGAAGAAAAAAAAATGTATCAAAAACGCTGCCGTTTGTTGTTATTGCTTTTTTATAGTTTTTTTATATAAAAAATCAACCAACCAACTCTCACCAAAGGATTTTTTTCTTAACAAAAAGGCAAGTAAAATATGTAAATATGTACTGTACATACATAGTGTTTTTTTTTTCAGAAGTATTCTAAAATGTTTTTAAATATCAATGTATAGTGTTTTTATACGTACAGTTAAGTGTATATTGGTTTTTAGTTTTTAACAAAACAAAAACAAAACTAAAAACAACTCAAATATTTTGTCACCTGTTTTTTTTAAAATTCGCATTGTTATTTTGCTCTTTATTTTTTTTTGTTTGTTTTTACTTTTTAAAAATTAAAATGGAATTTGAAGTCTCCGATTAAAATAGACCAAGAAACCACTTTTTAGTAAAGGCTTCCGTTGTACTTTGGGTCCTTGGGACACATATATTTATACATATAGTTGGGGACAAAAGGACAATTGCCAATTTCTGAGATTTTTTGTCCCTGGTTATTTTTCCGAAACTAGTTAGCAATCTGGGTAGAAGGACAATTTCCATCTGCATGCACCAAGTCGTTTACCTGTGTAAGTTATAAGTGGCCAATAGGGGTTAGGACAACGGAGAATTTCCCTGAGCCTATACAATAGCCCACTAGAGAGAGTCCGTGGGTTTTTGACTTTTTGTCCCCCTCTTATAAAACCATGAATCAATCGACCAATCAACACTTGAGCATATTCCAATTTTGTACTTGTCCGTATTCAATTCCCTTTCCACAAGGATAGTTAGTGTGAACTAAGCCAGGTTTAGTGTGCGTTAAAAGTAGATAAATATGTCGTCAGCGGAAGGTAGCGATAGCTCAGGTAGTGAACTCGAACTGGAAGGTGAATATGACCCCACTGACAGCCCCATTGCAAGTGAATCAGAAGATGAGAGGAGTATCGTGCGACGAATAAGGAAAGGAAGATGACACAGCCCAAAGCATCCAAAAGTAAGACTAAGCCTAAAAACAGACAACGGTGGTACGCCGAGAGCCATTTAACAGGGGAGGAACTTATAAATCAAGCTCAAAGGTCTATGGAACGGAACAGTAAGGAGATAAAAGCTAAACACGGCAGAGATCAAGATGAATATTGTATGTGGCTCCGCACTGAAGGTATAACTATCTGCCCATTTGACGGACCCAATCGCGAAAATGTCAGCGATTCATTAGTCGAAAAGTATTTAAAGTTTGTTGCCGAGTGAGGCTACATGAAAATTGCCGAGCGAGGCTACATGAAAAAAGGTAAATCTGTGTCGATTGCATGCTCGAAATTTTGCTCACAGATGCACTATCGTAATTGAATAGTCTATCCGCATTATCATTCCAGGAGAGAAACACTTGTATACATTTCCGTCGTTACGCAACGTACTTGAGTCTGCATGCTTTTGCACGGTTAGCAGGCGTAACGGGCAGAGCGATCGAATTTGCGGGTGCAAACTCGTTCTCAACTGGATATTAGAAGCAAACTGCTGCCCGAATGATCGACGCCAGCACTAGTAGAGGATTTGACAAAGTGTTAAATTTATACGATACGAAACAACACAGGCGAATTGTGCACTAGATGTTAAACAATTCTGATTCAGGTTTGTAATCAGTTAATGGTTGTACTTGTTCAGGCTTTTTTTGTTTGCTATCGTAGTATTTTAATTCGGTGTATTCCATTTTAGTAAATATTTCTATTGCATGCAACATGCATTGCAGTAAGGAATATGGGGATGCTTTGCGCGGCGCACAAGTTTTTATCTCGTAGCAAAAACATCCGTGGAATTCAACTAGCCGATATCTGCTTAATTTATTACGAGAAAAGTAAACAGATCAGTTCAAATCAGTTTCAATTACTGCAAGAATTTGTATTTAAATATATATGTGAATAAAAATTTGAGGTTGTTGTATCACGCAGGAAATTGTAGCCTTGTACAAGATATCGACTGTCTTGCGGCCGTCTGTTTGTATTCTTACAGGCTTGTTCTAATTTGTTCAATACTAACGAATAACATGTATTTATATACATATATAGATGTATATATATGTATATATATATATACATATATATATATATATATATTTATATATACATATATAAATATATATATATATATATATATATATATATATGTATATATATATATATATATATATATATNTATATATATATATATATATATATATATATAAGTCGTAGTTGTATGCCTGTAATAAAACTATATATATATTTACATAAATATGTATCGACACATATACACACGCACACACAAAGTTGTGCATTGTTGTATGCCTGTAATAAACCTATATACC